CGTTTATCATCGATAAGTACATTGATTTCTGGGTCATTTTCGTCAAACCATTACTTGTGTATTCTTTCGATCTGGCCGAGGGTCTCTGTAGGTTTTTGTCATGACAGTGTCGAGAATATCCCATTCGGCACTGGGATTTGGGTTGTTTGTTGCCGGGTTGTTTATCAGCCCATGTTCGAGCTGTTCTCTGAAAGCATGTGCTACCCCTGGATCCTCCAGACGCTTAGTGTTAAAACCTCTTCTGGAGGCTAGTCTCCTTTGCCGTTTTGAGGCGACGTGAAGTGAGAGCTTGGCTCTGATGAGTTGATGATCAGTGTCACAGTGGTCTGAGCCATGCATGGCTCAGGTGATGAGGATATCACAACGATCTCTTTCTCTGACAACAATGTAGTCAATAAGATGCCAGTGTTTGTATCGTGGATGTTGTCACGAACTGTTGAACTTGTCAGCCTGCTTAAACAAGGTATTAATGATGGTGAGGTTGTGTGCAGCATACTTGCTGAGGAGGAGTAGGCCATTGGGGTTATACTTGCCCAATCAAGTAGAGTTCATCGCGGAGTTTCCAATACGGGAGCAGGGTGTTGTGAAGGTCGTAGCGGTTGCTAGGGAATCCATTCCTCACACACTCGACGAGTCGGACATAGGAAGGGTCATCTCGGGCCGCTGTTCGAAGGTCCTCCATTGCCCTGTCGTCATCTGGTGACAGGTCCGAACGAAGGGATTGGACGGCGTGTAGAGTGACCACAGTCTTGATGGAAAGAACGAGGCCAGCGTCGAGCACATGGTCTTCTGGAGTAGGGCGGCTGACAGGAGAGCGGGATAAGGCATCAGGGATGCAGAGCTCCTTACCGGCACGCCACACTGCTGTGAAGATGTATGCCGAGAGCTTCTCCTTCAGACGCTGGAGGTTAGGGTTCTCAACGGCGTCCAGCATGTAGTGGTTGAAGATCGGAACAAGTGGGCGATGGCCGGTCACTAGGTGAAAGTGTTGCCGGCCTATGAGGTAAAACCTGCACTTGGACATCGCCCAAACCACAGCCAACAGCTCCAACTCAATAGTGGCGTAGCGCGTCTCGGTGTCAGAGAGGAAACGCGAGCCACACTGGACAAGCCGGAACTGCCCTCCACCATGATCCTGCAATAGGGCGTATCCCACGCCGTACTAGCGTGAGGCATCTGTCTGCAGAACCGTCGGCAAGGCTGGGTCAAACGTGGCGAGGACAGGTGGACTAGACAGGGCCTGTTTCACTTGCTGGAAGGCCTTGTCGTGGTCGGGGGTCCACAGGAATGTCCTCTTGGGGCTCATCAGGGGGCGAAGTGGTTGGGTAACTGCGGAGATGTCCGGCGAAAACTCTGCTAACTGGTTGACGAGACCGATGAAGGACCTCAAGTCGGTGAGGTTAGCAGGGGTGGGAAAATCCGTGATGGCGCGGACCTTTTCCAGGTCAGCTGCGATACCTATCCCTGAGAGGGTGTACCCACAAAAGTCCACTGAAGAGCTGGCCAGAACAAACTTGTTGGCATTTAGGGTGATGCCGTGCTTCCGGCACCTGTTGAGTACCTCGTAAATACGGCAGAGGTGATCCATGTAATCCTCATCGTACACGAGTATGTCGTCGACCACTTTCACGCAGTTTGCCAGACCTTGTAGAGCCATATCACCTCGAAGACAGAAAGCGTCTCCTGTAGAGGCGAATCCCATGGGGCCACGGCAATAACTGTAACGTCCATGCAGGGTAATGAAAGTTGTAAGTGGTCGGTCTTCTTCGGCAAGCTCTATCTGCCAGTATCCACACAGGGCGTCCATCGTCGTGAAGAAGCGCGCCTTCGGGTTCACACTGCGCATAGCTGCAAAGGGCGTGGGAGAAGGGTGCGCAGGACGAGACACCTGGCTGTTGAGCTTGGAGAGGTCAGTGGTGATCCGAACACCACCTTTAGGTTTTGCGACGACAACCATAGGGTGACACCATGGAGACGGGTCATCGCCGGCTGGTGCAATAATTTCTTGGGCGACCATGGAGTCCAGCTCGTTTTTGACCGCCTCCGGAAGGCCAGGGTGACCAGTCGATGGGTGTAAATAGCGAAGGGCTTCGCGTCGTCCCTCAAGTGGATCCTCATGGGGAGACCTACCATCTTCTTGAGAGGCTTGGATTCCAGAGCGGATTTGGTCACCAGAACGTCGCTGAATTCCTTCAGGAAGTACTTCCGAGCATCCGAAGGAGAGGTGTCACTGGCAAGAGGCAGGGGTAGGGCGGTAGCAGGGTAGTTGTGCTCCCTTGTTGCACCCTGTTGGCGTGTTTTACCTTGAGAATAGGTTTGGGGAAGTCCTGGGAGATGATAGCCAACTCTTGACAAAGTCTGTAGGACAGCAAAGGAGTCGGGACACCGTTTTGCACATCAATCCAGGCTTGACACGACCTGTTGCCAAAGGTGACCTGTGTTTGGAGTGAACCTAGAGCTGGGGCCATCTGTGAACCATCTGCCGTGAAGCGGAGATCCTTGGGTGGCGGTCCTAGATCACTTGGAGAGAGCCCCAAGCATTGCAAATGCTGGGGACCAATGACTGTAGCATCAGCGCCGGTGTCGGGCAACATCTGAAGACGGGATGACACACTGCCATAGGTCACGATGACACTGATGTACTGGGGAACTTTGGTCCTGGGATGTGAGGGGGAGCACACATTCCTAATATGGCTCGAGCATTGTCCAGGGTTGTCATGCTTCTGATTGGAAGACTGTGGGCGGCCCTCACTGGTGGAAGGGCGCTGAAGCTTCCGCCGACGCTGTCCCTTGGGTTTGTTGGTAGGGCAACACTTGTCGTAGTGCCCCAGACGACCGCACACATTGCACTGGACGCGTTTGGCTGGGCACCGTACTGCGAGTGACCAGTGGCCTTTACGGTCACAACTGTTGCAGGTAGACTCAGCAGCTGGACACACCTGTGTTCCGTGCTGCTTACCACAGTTGTTACAAAAGGAGCCGGGTGTGGGCGTGGTGGGCGAAGGCGTTGGGGTAGACTTCTTGTCCTTCTTGTACCGGGACACAGCGCGTACAGTTGTAGTGGGAGCTCGGATGGCAGAGGTGGCACACCTGGCAGCCTCATAGGAGCGACATATCGTCAACACATCCTTAAGAGAAGAGGAAGCGTCGAGGGAGGTGAGGCATTGGACAAGTTCCTCGTCCTTAACACCCATCAGGATCACGTGCTTCAACTGGGTCTCCTCGCACTGCTGGTGGTTACCTGGACATATATCTACCTCTTCCGAGGCTCTCTTGAGTCGTACATAAAAGGCATCAAAAGTCTCGCCCTCCATCTGTCTGCAGCTAAACAATTCCCTCCTGCGTAGAGCTTCATTCCTCTGCCCTTTGATGTGCCGTTGTAGAATGTCCAGTACCTCCTCTACAGACAAAGAAGAGGTTGGAGGTACCTGCAACGTATGTTCCAAGACACGCTGAGTTTCCAAGGACAGGCACATACGCAGCTGGATGAGTTGTTTAGGCTGTGACAAACTCTGGAGATCCACCATTGTAGCATAATCAGTCCACCGTCGCCGCCATTCACGAAAAGTCTGGATATTCACATCAGGCTTCAAGATGGGCGGTGTTTGAGCGGCCGCTTTAGGTGGGGCTGGGGGGCGTGAAGAAAGCTGATGAGGTATCCGAACCAGTCGATACCGAGGCAGTGTTAGAGCCAGGGGCTTGGTTAACAGTGAGGCGAGATATCAAAGCTTCAAACCGTGCACTGTCTTCCAATCTCCGTTGGTGGTCTCTCTCTGCCTCTGCTTGTCTTCTTTCTTCATTCTCCACAAGTCTGTTGGCTTCGTCCTCGCGCCTTTCATCCCTCATGAACTTCATTAAAGCAATTATCTCTGACTGCAACGCTGAAGATCGAGGTGAAGGGATGCGCGATGTGGTGGGAGCTGGAGCGTCCTGTTCAACGTGGTCATCCATCTCTGCCGAGCTGTCATCCGACTGACTCATCCAGGCGTTGGCTCCACAACTGTGTAAGGCACGAGACATAATAACTTAATCTGTGTACTGTGTCTTAAATCAATGTTGACCGGTCAGCCCGTCGTATCAACAAGATCTGAGACAAAAAATTAATTAAATGCACAGATAAGTAGATTATATATATATAAAATATATATAAAGGAATGGCCGCAATCAGTGTGTTCGTACGTGTGTATGTGTGTGCGCGCGTCTCGGGCAGTCCGGGCAGTCTCGCTGTGAGGGGGTGGAGGCGGCGACTCGCGTCAGTTACCCTGTGGACATGGCGAGAGGAGGATGTGAAAAACTTTACTCCTTACAAATGCCCAGAACAGGCCTTTTACCTTGGGAATCCTTTAGAACAAGGTCACACAGTTATGGCACTAAACACTTCACAGAAAATCACTGTCACTGACACTGCTCAAAGTTGCTATAAATTCTTGGAGGAGACGGCCATTATCGGTGGTTGACGCAGAGCAGGGGTCCATAAGCCGGTCTTGCCACAAACTTTACACTTCACTTGTATAATGGTCCAGTAAAATCCTACTCATTGCGCCATGTATGTGTTCTGGGTATCAAGTTCTATCTACAGGAGCGAACACAAACACCTGTAGAGTTTTCGTAGGTTCTATTTACTGGATAACAGATATGTACACAAGGGAGGTGGCGCTCCTTATTCTGGCTGGGGGTCAACTAACTTCTCGGGCGACATGTGGTAATGATACATTAGCAGCTTCCATATGTCGCCAGGCACGTTAATTAAGCATGTGGGACATGGTAAATACATTGCCACACGCTGCTAGCTAGGCTGAATAAATAGTGTATATAAATGGAGCACATACATAATATACATACAGAATACATAATATACATACACCTTGCACAAGGTATTTCATGATATAACATCATTTAAGTTTCGGAATTATCGTATTTATGCCTGCATCTGGCAATATCTAGCCCTGGTGTGAGTAGTGAAAATATGGATAATTTATGTAATTTTATTTAATTTTCAGTCTGGCAATTGTACATTACGAGAAGCTGTGATTGTTGGTTCTGTCCTTTCCAAGAACCACATCCCACTACTTCATTCTGCTGCTGCCATCCTTAAGATAGCTGAGATGGATTACACAGGACCAAATTCAGTTTTCTTGAGGATATTCTTTGACAAGAAATATGCTTTACCCTACAGAGTAATTGATGCCTGCATCTATCATTTTATCAAGTAAGTCATACATTGTTAGTCTTTATGATGTGGTAATTAAGATTAGTAGCTCATTAGCTATCTATTGGTAGACCCATAGTACACTTGGTGCTGCTCAGTTATGCATCTGTGTTCAGGACTATTGTCACCCTTACGGAATTATGGCTAATTTGATTTTCAAAAGGAAAAATTGCAATATAGAAAAAAAATTAACTGAAATTATAACATTTATTTCGTGTGGATTCTGGTGGTAGCTACATGTCGGCTGATGGGCAGCCCGGCGGACCTTCACAGTTGCCATCAACCACCACCACAATGACGCTGCTTAGTTTGAATTTTTTCCCAGTTTGTGTTCATTTATGAATCTGTGTTATTGTGTATGTACCATAATCAAGATAAGTGAAAAAATACCATCAAGTTCTGGTGAAAGCAGTGGTGATAAAAGATTCCATAAAGGAATTGCATTGGACATTTGACTTGATGTTTTAAGGAGGTAAGTATCCCAGTATCTCCAGTTGCACCACCTCACCTCTCTACCTCCTGCAGCTCTCAACATTGTTTCTGGTGAGTTAAATTCAAGTGTGTTCATTTATTGTCATGTTACATCATGAAAGAATCATTGTATGTGTCTATTTTCATTCATATATGTGTGTTAAGATTTTGGGCCCAAAAAGTTTTCCTTGGTAATGCATCTCAACTTATATAATGGGAGTCAATGGAAAAATGGTTTTGCATAACGGAATTTTGCGTTACAGAAAGATTTTTAGGCATGATCCCTGGTTATGAAAGGGTTCCGTTCCTGAAAATCATTCCATACCGCAAAATTCCATAATGTGAAACCATTTTTCCCGTTGATTCATTTTATATAAGCCGAAATGCGTTCCTAGGGAAATTTTTTTAGGCCCAAAACTGAACACAAGCATATATATGTATGAAAATAGACATTTATAACCACATGCAATGAGTCATTCATGATGTAACATGATAATAAATGCACAAAACACTCAAATTTTACTTACTAGAAATGATGTTGAGTGCTGAGTTAGGCGAGATGGTGTAGCTTGAGTTACGAGGAGGGAGACGGAGGGTCAAAACTGGCTCCTGTTTCTCCATTGTAGATCGTCATCATCGTTATCTTTTACTACTGACTGTGATCATGGGGCCAAGAACTTGTCTAATGTGCTTTATCGTTGACATTGCAATTATTGAGTGTACAGCTCCTTGTAGCCCCTCACAACATTCTCCAATTCTCTTGCAAACTTGAGGTTACATTTACAATCTGGTTTATTAGTCTCAAAGGTTTGAATCAGATCTTTCATTTGATTATTCCCTTTAGCCAAAACCTTTGTTGTCTGTCAATTCATGGGCTGTAAGTGGAACTTTTGTATCTTCTTATTCCTCACCAGCAGCTTGCTCCTGTTCCATCAGCTTCAGATCTTCATTTGACAGATCCTCTCTGTGTGACTAACAGCTCGACTACACCATCCTGATCCACTTCCTCAAACCCTGCACCATCTACCAAAGTTACAATTTCCTGCTACATCTCGTGCAAGATCTGAACCTGGGGAAAACCTTGGAAATCATGAACACATTCTGGCCAGATGTTCTTCCACACACACACATTGTTGTACATTTGACCTCATCCCATGACTCAGCAATGTTTTCTACTGCATTCATAATGTTAAACTTTTTCCAGAAATTTTCTGACTAATTGCTGATCCTCACCATCAATTGCAGCTATAAGTTGTCGAAAATCCTACATAAATAGTATACCTTGATGCTGGCAATCACATCTTGATCCATAGGCTGCCTAATATTACTGGAAATGTCATTAAGGTTAATTAGATGGCTGGGAGCATTTTCTAACAGAAACAAGGCCTTGTTGGCAATATTTTTTTGGTTACTGTACCTTTCCTTTGCTGGACAAAATCTGTGTGTTGTGAACCAATCTTGGAAGAGACTGGCAGTCATCCATGCTTTTAGAATGCCATATCACTGGTAACCTAGATTTGGCATAGCTCTATAAAACCCTTGGATTTTCTGAGTGGTACACAAGCAAGGGCTTCAACTTCATATCTTCAGTAGCATTACCTCCTAACAGAAGTGTTACACGATTCTTGGAAGCCTTAAAACCTGGAGCTGTCTTCTTTTCAGTTGAAATAAAAGTCCTGGCAGGCTTGTGCTTCCAGAACAGGCTTATTCTGTCAACATTATACACTTGTTGTGGTGTGTATCCATCAGCCTCAATAATTGCCTTTAGTTCTGCTGGATAATTACTAGCAGCCTCAGTATCAGCACTGGCTGCTTCACCTACCATCTTAATGTTGTGTAGGTTTAGGCATGTCATAAAATGCTCAAACCACCCTTTGCTGGCATTAAAGGGTTATTAATCAGAACTAACAACTTGCTCCTTAGCTAAATCTTTGTACAGACACATAGCCTTTTCCTGAATTACCAAGGTATTAATGGGCACATTGCACTTGGTCTGGCCCTCAATCCACACACACGGTAAGCATTTCATACTTATCACACATCACTACAAAGAAAATACAGTATACGGGCTGTTAATAGTGTAGCAACTTTAGCACCAGTCCCAATTTTGTCATTACTATCATGGATTGTTCCAACAGTGGAGGTTACAAGGCGATGTTTTGGTGATGTAACTCAGTTTTTCCCACTCATCAGATCTCCTTAACACATCTAATTTTGTTTCCAAGGTAATACCCTTTCATGGTTTCTTATGACCACTGCTAGTACAGTGGTCCCTCGGTTAACGAGCACAATTCGTTCCAGCAGGTTGCTCGTTAACCGAAACCATTGTTTCAATGGGTTTTTGGGTAATTGGTTCCAGCTCACCGAAAATTGTCTAAATTCAACAAAAAAGGTAGAAAAGTACACTTGCTTTGAGGTGTGTATGTAGAAGGCTCCTGGATGATGATGATGATGATGATGATGATGGGAATTAGAATGGGGGTGGAGGAGAAGGAAGAAGAGAAGGCATTGGGGTGGAAGAGAAGTCACCCCATGGCACCTGTTCACCCATAAAATTTTAGTTCTCTTGGTGTATTTCAAGATTATTTTCTTTAAATCAACACTGCACTGCATTATATATTGTCAGTATGTAAAATATATTTCAAAATGACCAATAATTTGCTTGGAAACACAGAAAAAAAGCATTTAGTTGAAGAGAGTCTCAAGCAAGATGTTCCCTCCACTGAAAACAGAGAGAGACTAACGCTTGTCTGGTGTGCTAACAGGCTGGATGGCACGCCAGAAACTAGTTTCTTTACCTTCAATTATGTTCAATAATTGTTAAAATGACTAAAAAAGTTAATATTAAACTTTTAAAATTATTGAATAGTATAAACTTCTTGATATTTACTAAAATAGTAAGGAATTTAAGCCCTAAAACTGATTACTGTATTGGCGGACTAATACTACAGCTGGTGGACCGCCAAATGCAAGCGAAAACATGTTGAAGTCGGCTCGTAAAAAACTCATTAATCGAGGGATTGCTCGTTAACCGAAGTTAGGAATCTTATGGAAGGTAAATCGTTAACTGAGGCGCTCGTTAACCGAGGGACCACTGTACTTGCACTTGATGGCCTGTTTCCACTCATCTTGAGTAAGAAAACCCAGTACAGTACCTGTAATACAGGCAAAGCTGAACATGTCTGGAGACTAAACCATTGTTGTTATTGTCAGGCCTTAACTGCCTTGTGGTTACCGCAGAGAATCCACACAATTTTTTTTTACTAGATTGGTAAAAATGTGGGTTAAAAATCACAGATTTATTTATTTATTTATTTTTTATTTACCCAAATTCCGTAAGAGTGAGTTTTTTGTCTGTATTCTGAATTTTTGGTCATACAGTGAACCCTTGAAGATCTGGACTAAAAGGGGGGGGGGAGACTACTTGTCCGAATCTTCCGGCGAAAGTACAAAATATATAAAAACGATAAATATTGATATAAAAATCACCAAAAATACAGTACATATTATCCTGACTCCTGTGAAAAAGCCATAATTTTGAGCAACATATTACTGTACTCATTTGTACTTGATGTATAGTAGGATCGGGATATATTGCGAGATAGGCTCCAAGGATGTTTGCTATATACTAAATTGCAAAATATGATTACATGTATTCAATGGGGAAAATAGGGTGAAGTTCTGGAGGCCAATAAAAGTGACTAAACTTGACGTAAAATTGCACAGTCTAAAGTTAGCAGAGTATATATTGCATCGCTGCAATCCTCGTTAGACAGCGAATAATTTGAATATACTGTATATATCATATATTTTGCACAAGAGATAAACATTTTGGTCCTTTGTAGTAAAATGTACAAATTAGTACTAAAATTTTTATGTATTGCAAACTATTGCATGTTTATATTCAAATTAATCACTATCTTAGAAGAATTGCAGCAATGTTAATTATATTCTCTTAAGTCTATTCATTGACATTTTATAAGAGAAAAACATGAACTCCTCTTATATAACAGATAAATAAATACCATTAGGTAACCTTTGTCCTTGCTCTGGCCCAGCTGTCATAGTACATCACCTCCCCCCTCCACTTCTGGCAAGATTGAAAGTGGTTTTAGGCTTTAAGTTTTTATCTTATAAAATGTCACAGACTAAAGTTAGCAGAATATAACTAGCATTGTTGGAATGCTTGCAAGACAGAGAATAATTTGAATATAGACCTCATAAGTTTTGCACAAAAGATAAAAAAAATTCCACTCATATTTTTGGGGCTATTTGGGTGATTTTTAGGAGTGTTTCTGACTTTATACAGTTTTTGGCCTTATGTGAGGTCCCAGGAACATAACCCCACGTAAGTTGTGAGTACTGTAAATAGATTTATTGCTCTATATTGGATAATTTTGATACTTTTGGTAGTAGTGATAAATTTGAAATATTTCCTGCACGATTTCCTTCGCGAAATAAAAAATTATCGTTATATTTAGGAAAATGTCGATTATTTTGGTAGCCGCGATATAAAATTTTTTTTTATA